CAAAGTAATCAATGGAATCAGTCTGGCCAATCACAAGCTACACCGACAATCCAGTGAACCAGTCAAAACACGACGATACAAGCAGCTGACGCGAAGCGCTGGAAAACGAGTGCGAACGAGTCACGATTGGTTTTGATGTCACTTTTGAATGGATATAGCGCTTTTCAATTGAGTGTCGTAAAACCAAAAACCAAAGTAATCACTCTGGCCAATCACAAAGGACACAGACAATACAGTGAACCAATCAAAGCTCAAAGTAATTACATGAAGCTGAAGCAAAACGCGGGAAAACGTGTGTGAGCGCGTTACGATTAGTTTCGGTTTTACTTCTGAGTATATGACAAAGTGGTGCGAGTTTTAAGCCAATCTTTTAGCGTAGTAATGCAAAACCAGTCAGGGCAATGCGAGTTACTTTCGCCGGACACTCAACTAAAAGCCGCTCTATTTCCGGAAAAATACCGTATACTTACACGGTATTGTATTGGCAGCCTGTCAAAGTTTTTCGTGGTTTCGTGAAACAGTAGCTCAATCTTAGGATTGCCTATTTCCTTGCTGTTAATTCTGTCATCGTCTGAGGAGGTCTGAAGAGAGAGAAGAAATATCACATCGCATTAACGGCCCGTGCGGTAAGATACGGATCTCCGTTTTCCCCGTCGATTTATGGCCTAAACGCAAAGAGCGCGGGCAACATATCTACTGGGGAAAATCCAGGTTAAGTATAACTTACAGTATACACTGATAATCAGATATATGTATGGCGGGTCTCGGAATCTCCTCCAGAGTGAATTGCAGGAAAAGTGAGTTCGTCTGTGAATTCTTGAGTTGAGTATTCTTACTTCTGCACTTTTAAGCCTCTTGCTACAACTCATTGACATGTATCTTTTTAAACAGTTGATTTGGCCTATTCTATTACAGGCTCTCGCTTGGTTGGAGGCTTGCGAGAGTAAAAACGAAAAGAGACTGAGACAAGACAGGTCTTTTTGCTTTTCGCGTTACTCCCCCTTGGCTTTTTCTATGGTTCGCCTCCAACCAAAAGCCTGGAACAGCCTGGCTTCATCTTTAACCCGACACCATCCTAGTGGCTGGCACCTTAGTATTACTGGCGCCTCCCGTGAGTAGGTAACCCTTCCTGGAATAGGTCCCGAAAGGGTCTGGGTTCCAGCTGATGACAAAGAGTGGCAAGCAGCGTGTTCAAGGCACACAATCAGAACTTACATCTGCAAGCCTCTGATCATCTGTTTTGATCTCTAATCCATCCGTGTAGGGCTGCAGAGCATCTTCTGTGAACACTTCCTTGTGTATCTGTAATCACGGTAAAATATGTGTAAAAAGCGCATCATCAGCGTTAATACGATTTAACCAGCAGTATTACAGAACTGAGTGAGAAACAAATAGAAATCTGATAAATGCCGTGTTTTGCGATTTCACTGATACTTGTTTTAGTGCTTTCTGGAAAGAAGCAAGAAACTTTAGAAGGGATACTGTAATAGGTCACGTTCGATATATCAATATTCTAACATGGCTCTGAGATATTCAGGACAAACTTCTATATTTGGGGTATTTTCTTTGTATCCAAGTCTCTTTTGGGAATTGAGGGGCAAAGGAAACATATAAATTTTGCAATTTTGTTCTGGAAGCCCCGGAGCCGTGTGAGAATTTTGATATATCGAACGTGGCTTATTCCAGCAAACCAATGTTTTAATTAGTTGTGAGTATAAGATAGCAAGGGATCGAGTTAATCCCCACATGAGCCTTATTCCCAGGGTAATCCCACTCAAGTTAAATAGGTGAAATAAACAGGTTCATTGAGCTTACATGATAAGATAAGATAAGAACTTTATTAACGTGTTGAAGTCGCTAGCATACAATGTATACTAATTGGGGACACCTAACTACGATTACTTATGTAATAGTTAATAAAATATGAAATATATGTACGTATGTAAGTGTTTTAAATGACGGACTAAGCGGCATTGGTATCACCCAACTAGTGGACTAATGCAAATCCTGCATTTTACTTGGCTACGCTATTAGGGGTCTATTAGTAATAGTCCTCGAGTAGCGAAATTGGCGCAATTGAACGTGATGCTTTCTTTCGTTTTATTTAACAAATAAAGTCTAAGCCGTGTATTACACTGCGATAAAACACGACGGGCATTTAAGAACACGAGGGAAATGTAGAAAACACGAACCGTAGGCGAGTGTTTTCTACATTTCTCGAGTGTTCTCAAATGTCCGGAGTGTTTTATCACAGTTTAATACACGGCTATTGATCACTGAATCAGAGCGTGCGCAGGGTCCTATCTATATCATAATCCCAAATAAATATTTTTTCAACTTGCATTTGCTAAGTTTATTATTGCCTTTTCTGTCCGACTAGTTGGGTGATACTGAAACAATTAGACCCTTCGCCCTCAAGGGCCACGGGTCAATAGCTATTGACCCGTAGCCCGCAAGGGCTACGAGTCTTATTGTTAATTATACCTATTTTCAGCCTCCACGAAGACATCCGCAGAATAACTTGTATTGGTATCATGTCACGCGCGTGGAAACATTCGACGAAGAACTTGAATTGGTATAATGTCAAAAATTAACTTGAAAGAGCTTACCTTGAAAACAAGGTGATAAACTCTCTTACCGTTCATTTTACCTTGGTTTCATAATTGATCTTGGCAATGACTTATTTCACAGTTACTCGCAATGCAAATACATTAGAGTCTCCGAAATCCATTCTTAGTTTGACATTGCATAGACTGCATACGATATATAAATGTGAAGTTCAAGTTTGATATTGTTCACTGTAACACGACAAATACCTTAGTGAATGGCTCCAAACTCGCTAGAATATTGCTAAGAACACTCAGAAGAACCATTTCATCCTGAAATCCTGTCCACAAGTGAGCTAATGTAATAAACTGGGGCTGAAAATCACAAAAGAAAAGACGTCTGAGAAATGAACAAAAAGAACTTACATGTAACTGTATTTGAGCAATGCGACAGAACAGGGGCCAATATTTTCCAATATGACCCAAAAAGGTTGGCAGAAAGACCCCTAATCTGCAAGGAATAGTATATGATCAAAATGAAAACCGGAACTTATCAAAACTGCAACGTAACTTGGAGAAATTACCAGAGCACATTTGAATAAAAAGTTGCACGTTGCTTACAGCAAACTTTCAATCAATATTGTAACATTGCAGCATCACCTTGCAGGGTTCCCGTCAACTGAAGAGCAACCAGTTTGACTGTAAGATACTCACATAAACTTGTGCCGTTGGTACAGCTGTTTT